ATAGACTAGACTATAGACTAGACTATAGACTAGACTATAGACTAGACTATAGACTAGACTATAGACTAGACTATAGACTAGACTATAGACTAGACTATAGACTAGACTATAGACTAGACTATAGACTAGACTATAGACTAGACTATAGACTAGACTATAGACTAGACTATAGACTAGACTATAGACTAGACTATAGACTAGACTATAGACTAGACTACAGACTAGACTATAGACTAGACTATAGACTAGACTATAGACTAGACTATAGACTAGACTATAGACTAGACTATAGACTAGACTATAGACTAGACTATAGACTAGACTATAGACTAGACTATAGACTAGACTATAGACTAGACTATAGACTAGACTATAGACTAGACTATAGACTAGACTATAGACTAGACTATAGACTAGACTATAGACTAGACTATAGACTAGACTATAGACTAGACTATAGACTAGACTATAGACTAGACTATAGACTAGACTATAGACTAGACTATAGACTACACTATAGACTAGACTATAGACTAGACTATAGACTAGACTATAGACTAGACTATAGACTAGACTATAGACTAGACTATAGACTAGACTATAGACTAGACTATAGACAGACTATAGACTAGACTATAGACTAGACTATAGACTAGACTAGACTAGACTATAGACTAGACTATAGACTAGACTATAGACTAGACTATAGACTAGACTATAGACTAGACTATAGACTAGACATAGACTAGACTATAGACTAGACTATAGACTAGACTATAGACTAGACTATAGACTAGACTATAGACTAGATTATAGACTAGACTGTAGACTAGACTATAGACTAGATTAGACTAGACTGTAGACTAGACTATAGACTAGACTATAGACTAGACTATAGACTAGACTATAGACTAGATTATAGACTAGACTGTAGACTAGACTATAGACTAGACTATAGACTAGATTATAGACTAGACTGTAGACTAGACTATAGAATAGACTATAGACTAGACTATAGACTAGACTATAGACTAGACTATAGACTAGACTATAGACTAGACTATAGACTAGACTATAGACTAGACTATAGACTAGACTATAGACTAGACTATAGACTAGACTATAGACTAGACTATAGACTAGACTATAGACTAGACTATAGACTAGACTATAGACTAGACTATAGACTAGACTATAGACTAGACTATAGACTAGACTATAACTAGACTATAGACTAGACTATAGACTAGACTATAGACTAGACTATAGACTATATATAGACTAGACTGTAGACTAGATTATAGACTAGATTATAGACTAGACTATAGACTAGACTATAGACTAGACTATAGACTAGACTATAGACTAGACTATAGACTAGACTATAGACTAGACTGTAGACTAGACTATAGACTAGACTATAGACTAGATTATAGACTAGACTGTAGACTAGACTATAGATAGACTATAGACTAGACTATAGACTAGACTATAGACTAGACTAGACTATAGACTAGACTATAGACTAGACTATGGACTAGACTATAGACTAGACTATAGACTAGACTATAGACTAGACTATAGACCAGACTATAGACTAGACTATAGACTAGACTATAGACTAGACTATAGACTAGACTATAGACTAGACTATAGACTAGACTATAGACTAGACTATAGACTAGACTATAGATTAGACTATAGACTAGACTATAGACTAGACTATAGACTAGACTATAGACTAGACTATAGACTAGACTATAGACTAGACTATAGACTAGACTATAGACTAGACTATAGACTAGACTATAGACTAGAATAGACTAGACTATAGACTAGACTGTAGACTAGACTATAGACTAGATTATAGACTAGACTAAGACTAGACTATAGACTAGACTATAGACTAGACTATAGACTAGACTATAGACTAGACTATAGACTAGACATAGATAGACTATAGATTCTATAGACTAGACTATAGACTAGACTATAGACTAGACTATAGACTAGACTATAGACTAGACTATAGACTAGACTATAGACTAGACTATAGACTAGACTATAGACTAGACTATAGATTAGACTATAGATTAGACTATAGACTAGACTATAGACTAGAATAGACTAGACTATAGACTAGACTATAGACTAGACTATAGACTAGACTATAGATTAGACTATAGACTAGACTATAGACTAGACTATAGACTAGACTATAGACTAGACCTATAGACTAGACTATAGACTAGACTATAGACTAGACTATAGACTAGACTATAGACTAGACTATAGACTAGACTATAGACTAGACTTAGACTAGACTATAGACTAGACTATAGACTAGACTATAGACTAGACTATAGACTAGACTATAGACTAGACTATAGACTAGACTATAGACTAGACTATAGACTAGACTATAGACTAGACTATAGACTAGACTATAGACTAGACTATAGACTAGACTATAGACTAGACTATAGCTAGACTATAGACTAGACTATAGACTAGACTATAGATTAGACTATAGACTAGACTATAGATTAGACTATAGACTAGACTATAGACTAGACTATAGACTAGACTATAGACTAGACTATAGACTAGACTATAGATTAGACTATAGACTAGACTATAGACTAGACTATAGACTAGACTATAGACTAGACTATAGACTAGACTATAGACTAGACTATAGACTAGACTATAGACTAGACTATAGACTAGACTATAGACTAGACTATAGACTAGACTATAGACTAGACTATAGACTAGACTATAGACTAGACTATAGACTAGACTATAGACTAGACTATAGACTAGACTATAGACTAGACTATAGACTAGACTATAGACTAGACTATAGACTAGACTATAGACTAGACTATAGACTAGACTATAGACTAGACTATAGACTAGACTATAGACTAGACTATAGATAGACTATAGACTAGACTATAGACTAGACTATAGACTAGACTATAGACTAGACTATAGACTAGACTATAGACTAGACTATAGACTAGACTATAGACTAGACTATAGACTAGAATAGACTAGACTATAGACTAGACTATAGACTAGACTATAGACTAGACTATAGACTAGACTATAGACTAGACTATGACTAACTATAGACTAGACTATAGACTAGACTATAGACAAGTCTATAGACTAGACTATAGACTAGACTATAGACTAGACTATAGACTAGACTATAGACTAGACTATAGACTAGACTATAGACTAGACTATAGACTAGACTAGACTAGACTAGACTATAGACTAGACTATAGATAGACTATAGACTAGACTATAGACTAGATAGACTAGACTATAGACTAGACTATAGACTAGACTATAGACTAGACTATAGACTAGACTATAGACTAGACTATAGACTAGACTATAGACTAGACTATAGACTAGACTATAGACTAGATATAGACTAGACTATAGACTAGACTATAGACTAGACTATAGACTAGACTATAGACTAGACTATAGACTAGACTATAGACTAGACTATAGACTAGACTATAGACTAGACTATAGACTAGACTATAGACTAGACTATAGACTAGACTATAGACTAGACTATAGACTAGACTATAGACTAGACTATAGACTAGACTATAGACTAGACTATAGACTAGATAGACTAGACTATAGACGACTATAGACTAGACTATAGACTAGACTATAGACTAGACTATAGACTAGACTATAGACTAGACTATAGACTAGACTATAGACTAGACTATAGACTAGACTATAGACTAGACTATAGACTAGACTATAGACTAGACTATAGACTAGACTAGACTAGACTATAGACTAGACTATAGACTAGACTATAGACTAGACTATAGACTAGACTATAGACTAGACTATGACTGACTATAGACTAGACTATAGACTAGACTATAGACTAGACTATAGACTAGACTATAGACTAGACTATAGACTAGACTATAGACTAGACTATAGATAGAGAAGACTAGACTATAGACTAGACTATAGACTAGACTATAGACTAGACTATAGACTAGACTATAGACTAGACTATACTAGACTATAGACTAGACTATAGACTAGACTATAGACTAGACTATAGACTAGACTATAGCTAGACTATAGACTAGACTAGACTAGACTATAGACTAGACTATAGACTAGACTATAGACTAGACTATAGACTAGACTATAGACTAGACTATAGACTAGACTATAGACTAGACTATAGACTAGACTATAGACTAGACTATAGACTAGACTATAGACTAGACTATAGACTAGACTATAGACTAGACTATAGACTAGACTATAGACTAGACTATAGACTAGACTATAGACTAGACTATAGACTAGACTATAGACTAGACTACAGACTAGACTATAGGACTAGACTAGACTATAGACTAGACTTGAAAAACTTCAACTTTTTAAATTTTGCTCTGCATGGTTCTAGACTTTTGTAAGAGGCATTTAAACATAATCTGACTTTCTGTTATGCCTCATGATATTTTTATTTTTTCTGGTAATTTCCATTTCAAAAGCAAATTTCCGTATTGTAAGTATTCACACGCTTCATAATAATTCAGTGATTTGTGATGAAAATTTAAACATACATATAACACAATGTCTGAGTGCTGGCCATCAGACCTTAAAAATGTCATCATAAATCAATAATATTGATTAAATATAAAAAACTCATTATGACGAGTATAAGTAGAAATGATGAATAAAAGAATAGAAAAATAACCAAAAATTTTACATAACAATTACAAAGTAGAATGAAATCACTTTAAATATTTAAACAAGTTCAGGGTATTCATAGCAATTTAACATAAGAACTTAAAGCTTTTGTAAATTTATGTCGATTTATGACTACCTGAAGCATAAGCTTATTTGTCTGACATTATTTCTTTCTTACCTTAATAATTGTACAAAAGAAAGCGAAAACCCTAAATTATAATTGTTCATGGTTTCTCTTCTTTCCATTACCATTTTTAGCGTACAACTGTAATGTCTTCCACTTCCAGTGTTTTGCCGGATGTAGCGGCACCCGCTGTCTTAAATACTGAAAGTGTACATGTTAATTTAAATGCATCCGGTAAAGCACAACAGCAGCAACAACAACAATTACACACAAAATCTCCAGCAACATCACCAAAAACCTAAAACTTTAACTTCTAATAGTAGCAACAATATTGTTGCATCAGCAACAGCCTCCATCTAACAACTCGAATAGTACGCAGCAGCATCATCATCATCATCAAACAATCAATTACCACATCACAGCAATAATGGCATATGACCAACTCCACAACCAATACTGTCATCAACATCATCCTCAATGTCTACGACGACGACAGCAACATCATCACAACAACAACAACCATCGACTGGAAAAACGTCTGTCACAATACCCATTGAATCTCAGCCACCAATGCGTACAATTGAATTATCAACAGGTCGGATACGAGAAGGATTTGGTATGTATCTTTTCTATTTATATGAGTCTATCTATGTATGTATATGTTGGTTGTTCTATGCCTCCTATTACTCCTCCCGCTGACGTAACTGAAGATTAAATTGAAATAGTATGTTACAACAGAGTTAGAGTTTATTTCTGCTTTTGTTCTGGTTGTTACCAGAGAAAAAAATTTTGGCTTAATCACTTAAGGATGGTTTTTAGAAGTCATATATTTCGGAGAACAACAAAAATAGGAATAGATGGATTTTACAACATTCGTTTTTTAATTCGTTGTTATAACAAGTTTAGTTAGAAGAAACTTTATTTTCAAAATGTGAGAATATTTTTTTAGTTCTGTTCTGTTCTAGTTCTGTTCTAGTTCTGTTCTAGTTCTGTTTAGTTCTGTTCTAGTTCTGTTTTAGTTCTGTTCTAGTTCTGTTCTAGTTCTGTTCTAGTTCTGTTCTAGTTCTGTTCTAGTTCTGTTCTAGTTCTGTTCTAGTTCTGTTCTAGTTCTGTTCTAGTTCTGTTCTAGTTCTGTTCTAGTTCTGTTCTAGTTCTGTTCTAGTTCAGTTCTAGTTCTGTTCAGTTCTGTTCCAGTTCTGTTCTAGTTCTGTTCTAGTTCTGTTCTAGTTCTGTTCTAGTTCTGTTCTAGTTCTGTTCTAGTTCTGTTCTAGTTCTGTTCTAGTTCTGTTCTAGTTCTGTTCTAGTTCTGTTCTAGTTCTGTTCTAGTTCTGTTCTAGTTCTGTTCTAGGTCTGTTCTAGTTCTGTTCTAGTTCTGTGTTCTAGTTCTGTTCTATTTCTGTTCTAGTTCTGTTCTAGTTCTGTTCTAGTTCTGTTCTAGTTCTGTTCTAGTTCTGTTCTAGTTTGTTCTAGTTCTGTTCTAGTTCTGTTCTAGTTCTGTTCTAGTTCTGTTCTAGTTCTGTTCTAGTTCTGTTCTAGTTCTGTTCTAGTTCTGTTCTAGTTCTGTTCTAGTTCTGTTCTAGTTCTGTTCTAGTTCTGTTCTAGTTCTGTTCTAGTTCTGTTCTAGTCTTTTCAGTTCTGTTCTAGTTCTGTTCTAGTTCTGTTCTAGTTCTGTTCTAGTTCTGTTCTAGTTCTGTTCTAGTTCTGTTCTAGTTCTGTTCTAGTTCTGTTCTAGTTCTGTTCTAGTTCTGTTCTAGTTCTGTTCTAGTTCTGTTCTAGTTCTGTTCTAGTTCTGTTCTAGTTCTGTTCTAGTTCTGTTCTAGTTCTGTTCTAGTTCTGTTCTAGTTCTGTTCTAGTTCTGTTCTAGTTCTGTTCTAGTTCTGTTCTAGTTTGTTCTAGTTCTGTTCTAGTTCTGTTCTAGTTCTGTTCTAGTTCTGTTCTAGTTCTGTTCTAGTTCTGTTCTAGTTCTGTTCTAGTTCTGTTCTAGTTCTGTTCTAGTTCTGTTCTAGTTCTGTTCTAGTTTTGTTCTAGTTCTGTTCTAGCTCTGTTCTAGTTCTGTTCTGTTCTAGTTCTGTTCTGTTCTAGTTCTGTTCTGTGTTCTTTTGTTAGTTCTGTTCTAGTTCTGTTCTAGTTCTGTTCTAGTTCTGTTCTAGTTCTGTTCTAGTTCTGTTCTAGTTCTGTTCTAGTTCTGTTCTAGTTCTGTTCTAGTTCTGTTCTAGTTCTGTTCTAGTTCTGTTCTAGTTCTGTTCTAGTTCTGTTCTAGTTCTGTTCTAGTTCTGTTCTAGTTCTGTTCTAGTTCTGTTCTAGTTCTGTTCTAGTTCTGTTCTAGTTCTGTTCTAGTTCTGTTCTAGTTCTGTTCTAGTTCTGTTCTAGTTCTGTTCTAGTTCTGTTCTAGTTCTGTTCTAGTTCTGTTCTAGTTCTGTTCTAGTTCTGTTCTAGTTCTGTTCTAGTTCTGTTCTAGTTCTGTTCTAGTTCTGTTCTAGTTCTGTTCTAGTTCTGTTCTAGTTCTGTTCTAGTTCTGTTCTAGTTCTGTTCTAGTTCTGTTCTAGTTCTGTTCTAGTTCTGTTCTAGTTCTGTTCTAGTTCTGTTCTAGTTCTGTTCTAGTTCTGTTCTAGTTCTGTTCTAGTTCTGTTCTAGTTCTGTTCTAGTTCTGTTCTAGTTCTGTTCTAGTTCTGTTCTAGTTCTGTTCTAGTTCTGTTCTAGTTCTGTTCTAGTTCTGTTCTAGTTCTGTTCTAGTTCTGTTCTAGTTCTGTTCTAGTTCTGTTCTAGTTCTGTTCTAGTTCTGTTCTAGTTCTGTTCTAGTTCTGTTCTAGTTCTGTTCTAGTTCTGTTCTAGTTCTGTTCTAGTTCTGTTCTAGTTCTGTTCTAGTTCTGTTCTAGTTCTGTTCTAGTTCTGTTCTAGTTCTGTTCTAGTTCTGTTCTAGTTCTGTTCTAGTTCTGTTCTAGTTCTGTTCTAGTTCTGTTCTAGTTCTGTTCTAGTTCTGTTCTAGTTCTGTTCTAGTTCTGTTCTAGTTCTGTTCTAGTTCAGTTCTAGTTCAGTTCTAGTTCAGTTCTAGTTCAGTTCTAGTTCAGTTCTAGTTCAGTTCTAGTTCAGTTCTAGTTCATTCTAGTTCAGTTCTAGTTCTAGTTCAGTTCTAGTTCAGTTCTAGTTCAGTTCTAGTTCAGTTCTAGTTCAGTTCTAGTTCAGTTCTAGTTCAGTTCTAGTTCAGTTCTAGTTCAGTTCTAGTTCAGTTCTAGTTCAGTTCTAGTTCAGTTCTAGTTCAGTTCTAGTTCAGTTCTAGTTCAGTTCTAGTTCAGTTCTAGTTCAGTTCTAGTTCAGTTCTAGTTCAGTTCTAGTTCAGTTCTAGTTCAGTTCTAGTTCAGTTTCTAGTTCAGTTCTAGTTCAGTTCTAGTTCAGTTCTAGTTCAGTTCTAGTTCAGTTCTAGTTCGTTCTAGTTCAGTTCTAGTTCAGTTCTAGTTCAGTTCTAGTTCAGTTCTAGTTCGTTCTAGTTCAGTTCTAGTTCAGTTCTAGTTCAGTTCTAGTTCAGTTCTAGTTCAGTTTTAGTTCAGTTCTAGTTCAGTTCTAGTTCAGTTCTAGTTCAGTTCTAGTTCAGTTCTAGTTCAGTTCTAGTTCAGTTCTAGTTCAGTTCTAGTTCAGTTCTAGTTCAGTTCTAGTTCAGTTCTAGTTCAGTTCAGTTCTAGTTCAGTTCTAGTTCAGTTCTAGTTCAGTTCTAGTTCAGTTCTAGTTCAGTTCTAGTTCAGTTTCTAGTTCAGTTCTAGTTCAGTTCTAGTTAGTTCTAGTTCAGTTCTAGTTCAGTTCTAGTTCAGTTCTAGTTCACTCTAGTTCAGTTCTAGTCAGTTCTAGTTCAGTTCTAGTTCAGTTCTAGTTCGTTCTAGTCATTTAGTTCAGTTCTAGTTCCGTCTCGTTCAGTTCTAGTTCAGTTCTAGTTCCGTTCTAGTTCAGTTCTAGTTCAGTTCTAGTTCAGTTCTAGTTCAGTTCGTAGTTCTATCAGTTCTAGTTCCTAGATTCCCTTTCTAGTTCACTTCTAGTTCAGTTCTAGTTCAGTTCTAGTTCAGTTCTAGTTCAGTTCTAGTTCAAGTTCTAGTTCAGTTCTAGTTCAGTTCTAGTTCAGTTTCTAGTTCAGTTCTAGTTCCAATTCTAGTTCAGTTCTATTCAGTTCTAGTTCATTCTCGTTCAGTTCTAGTTCAGTTTCAGTTCAGTTCAGTTCTAGTTCAGTTCTAGTTCAGTTCTAGTTCAGTTCTAGTTCAGTTCTAGTTCAGTTCTAGTTCAGTTCTAGTTCAGTTCTAGTTCAGTTCTAGTTCAGTTCTAGTCTAGTTCATTAGTTCAGTTCTAGTTCAGTTCTAGTTCGTTTTAGTGCTAGTTTAGTTCTAGTCAATTCTAGTTCATTTCTAGTACAGTTCTATTTCAGTTCTAGTTAAGTTCTGTTTCGTTTATCTTCCTTAACGGCCTCTAAATATTTGTGTTATTATCAGATATCAGGTGTCCTGGAGCACTTCAATGTCGACGTAGTTTCATTGGTGTTTATATGTCCACATTGGTGGTGATCTTCTTTTGATCTCTTGAATGTTATTGCTTATTTAAAAATTTAGAATGATTAATATATTTTTTTTTTATTTTTAGCTAATGGTGATGTCATAGTTACTCTACTACCCGCCAATACCAAACTCCCCTGGGTAACACCGGCCATATTTAGGCCAGAACTAGTGCCAGAGGAGTTAATGGCTCAAGGTCTGACAGTGAGTATTAAAAGAATTTGAAAATAGGAGGTCGGATTTTAATTTTTAACATTTTTTTCCAGCTTACCGTCGAAGAATATGTACATGCCATGGAAACTCTGGTTAATGATTATCGCTTTACCATGTATAATATTTGCTATAAACGCATCTTAGTCTGTTGGATTCTATTCGCATTCTCGGTTCTGTTGACTTTACTCTTCTCAGGCCTACAAGGGGTGGCCTTGTTTTCTTTGGGAGTAGGCTGGCTTTTCCTTAATGCCGCCGCTATATTCCTCTGCATGTGGGTGAAGTTGCGTTTGGCCCGAGGTCTAGAGAAATGTTTGGCACGAGTCAATAAACAATTGATTAAGCACAAAATCCTTTTGATATTAGATGATCGTGGTCGTATATCGTGTCATAAAGTTAACTTATGTTTCCTATACTTTGATTCGGCTCCTTGTGTAAGCTTTTTAAATGAATTCCTTGAACATACCGAGCAAAATGGTGGTGAAGCTATTAAGGCGGGATGGGAATCTAAATTGGATATAGATGTTAATGATATTGTTATACAAGGTTCAAATCCGGTGCGTTTGTCTAGGAAACAGGTGAGTTTGAAATTTGATAATTTGGCTTTTCAGCACTTTCTTTTTTTTTTTCCACAAAAACACATTAAAATCATGTAAATAACATTGAACAACATTTGCAAGAAAAATATGTTTAAGCAAATCATAGTCTTGAATAGATCATACATTTTCTTCACTGTCCTTAAGAACTTATCTTTCTAAATACATATACACACATACATATAAACGAATAAATTAAAATATTACTATGTATATGAAACTTATGTTAAAACCTATTATGAACAACAAAAAAAAATCCCTGTAAAAATTTTAGGCTGTGGCCCAAGAACTTTATCTCAGCTATTTACAACGTTGGGGCAAAGATTTCTTAAGACGTCGTCTTGACTGGACCGTCCAAGAGGCTGGCGTTCATGAAACACCCCGACATTTACAATCATCCATCTGTCCCTGCCAGTATGAGGAAGAAGTTTTGCGCAATAAAATTAAAATGCATTTACAGCGCAAACAATGTTGTGGCCTTAACTGTTTGGGTTGTTGGTTATAAACTAGTGAAAGGACATATAACCACACACACACATATACACGAAATGAGAAAAACACCTAAAACAAAAGGAATGTTAATATTTAATTTTGAAAATTTGTTTTTAATTATAGTAAACAAAACAACAACAAAAACAAGAAATTTCCATTGTTTTGTTTTATTATTTAGCTTTTTTTAGTAGTTTTTTTAATTTAACTATTTTATGTTTTATTTGCTCAACAATTTTTATGTTTTTTGCTTTTTTTGTCGTTTTTTTTATTATTTGTTTAAAAAAAAGTCGTTTATTTTTAAGTTAATTGTAAAAAAACTCAAAATATTTGTCAAATATACTTCTATTTAATTAAAATATTTACCATTTAGTTTTTTCTTTATTTATTTAATATTTTCTTTATTTGTTAATGTATTTGTTTATTACTGGCCTGGACATTTGTAATACTTCATTGTTTGCTAAAAATTAAAATTTTTAAATTTATTTTCTTTTAATTATTACTTTACTTTAATAGAACTATTTATCATAACATATGGTAGTAAATATCTACATATAAGTATTATTTGCACTATATACAAAGCTTTATTACAAATTTAATACTTTAAACTCTTAAAATTTTTGAACAGTCATTCACTTTGCAAATGCACCATATTAATTTGTAACACCCAGCAGTTTGGGAGGAATGTTCCTCATTACCTATTTAACTCACCACTTAGTGACTATCCTGTAGTCTAGTCTCGTCTGTAGTCTAGTCTATAGTCTAGGATATAGTTTATAGTCTATAGTCCAGTCAAAACTATAGTCTAGTCTATAGTCGAGTCTATAGTCTAGTCTATAGTCGAGTCAATAGTATAGTCTATAGACTAGTATATAGTCTAGTCTGTAGTGTAGTCTGTAGTCTAGTCTGTAGTGTAGTCTGTAGTCTAGTCTATAGTCTAGTCTGTAGTCTAGTCTATAGTCTAGTCTGTAGTCTAGTCTATAGTCTAGTCTATAGTCTAGTCTATAGTCTAGTCTATAGTCTAGTCTATAGTCTAGTCTATAGTCTAGTCTATAGTCTAGTCTATAGTCTAGTCTATAGTCTAGTCTATAGTCTAGTCTATAGTCTAGTCTATAGTCTAGTCTATAGTCTAGTCTATAGTCTAGTCTATAGTCTAGTCTACTGTCTAGTCTATAGTCTAGTCTACAGTCTAGTCTGTAATATAGTCTTTAGTTTATTCTTTATAGCCTAACTAAACTATAGTCTAATCTATAGTCTGGTCTATAGTATAGTCTATAGTCTAGTCTATAGTCTAGTCTATATTCTAGTCCATAGTCTTGTCTATAGTATAGTCTATAGTCTAGCCTATAGTCTAGTCCATAGTTTAGTTTATAGTCTAGTCTATAGTCTAGTCTATAGTCCAGTCTGTAGTCTAGTCTATAGTCCATTGCATAGTTTAGTTTAAGTCTATAGTCTAGTCTAGAGTTTAGTCTATATTAAAGTCTGTAGTCTAGTTTGTATTCTAGTCTATAGTCTAGTCTATAGTCAAGTCTATAGTCGAGCCTATAGTATAGTCAATAGTCCAGTCTATAGTCTAGTCTATGGTATAGTCTATAGTCTAGTCTAGTTTATAGTCTAGTCTGTAGTCTAGTTTATAGTCTAGTCTGTAGTCTAATCTATAGTCTAGTCTATAGTCTAGTCTATAGTCTAGTCTATAGTCTAGTCTATAGTCTAGTTTATAGTCTAGTCTATAGTCTAGTCTATAGTCTAGTCTATAGTCTAGTCTATAGTCTAGTCTATAGTCTAGTCTATAGTCTAGTCTATAGTCTAGTCTATAGTCTAGTCTATAGTTTAGTCTATAGTCCAGTCTATAGTCTAGTCTATAGTCTAGTCTATAGTCTAGTCTATAGTCTAGTCTATAGTCTAATCTATAGTCTAATCTATAGTCTAGTCTATAGTCTAGTCTATAGTCTAGTCTATAGTCTAGTCTATAGTATTGTCTATAGTCTAGTCTATAGTCTAGTCTACAGTCTAGTCTACAGTCTAGTCTACAGTCTAGTCTATAGTCTAGTCTATAGTCTGGTCTATAGTCTAGTCTGTAGTCTAGTCTATAGTCTAGTCTATAGTCTGGTCTATAGTCTAGTCTATAGTCTAGTCTATAGTCTGGTCTATAGTCTAGTCTATAGTCTAGTCTATAGTCTAGTCTATAGTCTAGTCTATAGTCTAGTCTATAGTCTAGTCAATAGTCTAGTCTATAGTCTTTTCTATAGTCTAGTCAATAGTCTAGTCTATAGTCTAGTCTAAAGTCTAGTCTAAAGTCTAGTCTATAGTCCAGTTTATAGTCTAGTCTATAGTCTAGGCTATAGTCTAGGCTATAGTCATTTCTATAGTCTAGTCTATAGTCTAGTCTATGGTCTAGTCTATAGTCTAGTCTATAGTCTAGTTTATAGTCTAGTCTATAGTCTAGTCTATAGTCTAGTCTATAGTCTAGTCTATAGTCTAGTCTATAGTCTAGTCTATAGTCTAGTCTATAGTCTAGTCTATAGTCTAGTCTATAGTCTAGTCTATAGTCTAGTCTATAGTCTAGTCTATAGTCTAGTCTATAGTCTAGTCTATAGTCTAGTCTATAGTCTAGTCTATAGTCTAGTCTATAGTCTATTCTATAGTCTAGTCTATAGTCTAGGTTCATCGAAGTAATATGCCCCGGGTGGAACATAGAGAAACAGTCAGAAAGCTAGACCAAAGCCTCCAAGGTCTCACATATGTGAAAAGTGTTATTTAGTCAACTGTATAACCAGTGGCTGGTAGTGGGTTATCCCCGAACTGTTGGGACCTTCTGTATTGGCCTAGGGACTGGTGTATTAGCCTAGTGTATCAAATCGACTGGAGATTATGAACGCGGTGTACTTTGCGTGAACACCTGCCTCTTCAACCACAGTGTTAGCAGGAGGTGACCAACTAAAGCCCCCTTGTGAGCCCTAAGGAATAGCCTAGTCTATCAAATAGACTGGAGATTATGAACGCGGTGTACTTTGCGTGAACACCTGCCTCTTCAACCACAGTGTTAGCAGGAGGTGACCAACTAAGGCCCCCTTGTGAGCCCTAAGGAATAAGCAAGTGGCAAGTTTTGTACAAGCACTTTGCTTGAGTGCTTGGGTTGTTCAATCTCTGACCATCACTGCTCTGTTGCATAACTTTCCCGGAACCCTGAACATACCTTGACAATATAGGGAAATTCAACGATGACGTATGAAAAAGTCATCGAACATCCATTACCATTCAACAAAACACACACACACACAAACCATTTAAATCCAATACAGATAAAAAGAAACCTCTGACACATTCAAAAGAGTAGAGAGGTCCGTATACCCCCGATTCATTGTTGTGTTTACGGCAACAGCACGAACTTATTCCGTATTTAGTCTTTATGGGGGAATACTTCTGCAGGAACAGACGGTATGGCTGAAGAATATAATGAAATCGAGTCTATTAGATTGACCCAATTCAGAGATTGTTTCCAAGTCATGGTTGAGCGGCTCTGATCCGATCGGAATTAAATTTGACATGGACGTAGCCCAGGGGTATACCAGTTTTAGTGTTGATAATTAACCTTACAAATACTTCAGGGGTGGCGTTTTAAGGGCTCAAAGTTTGATCATCCATCCGTTCAGGGAATTTTGGACCGATCTTATTGGGAAATTCTATCAAAACTACTAGCCAATAGAAAGACACCCGTTTCAAAAGTTGGGTCAATTGAAATCTCCTATATCTTATTCTAAACTCTTTCTGTAGAAACTGATCAAGGTTTCTGGATGTTTTGGATTAAGAATATGGAATCTTAAAAGGTTGAAAGTCCAATGGGACTAATCGGAAGATATCGGTTCGATAAGTGGGATCAATTGAAATTCCTAATATCTTAATCTAATCTTTTTCATTAAAAACTGAGGAATATGGTTCAAGGTTTCTTGGATGTTTTGGTTTAAGAATATGTGCATGTCTGGAATCTGAAAAGAGTGAAAGTGGTTCAGTGTAAATGACAAAATAAAGGTTTCTGTATGTGTAATCTTAATTTTATGAATTTGCTGTAGATTTTTTAGTAAATTATTAAAATTTAGAATGTAATTTGAAATAATGAAGTATTCTGAATGTTTGTGTTTAGATCTTTAGTAGTAATTAAGAATACATATTTTTGAATTTTTTTTTTAAATAATTTTCATTTTCAATCACATTTTATAGTCACTATTTAATTGCATGCTTTTTGCTATATATTTTTAAAACTATTTTTCTTTAGCTTTTTCCTCAATTATTTCATTTGCATTTTCTTTTTTATTCATATTTGTTTTATTATTTTTATTAAAAATTTCATATAAATATCCATAAAAAAAAAACAAATCCAAAAACAAAATTTCCAGGAACGTGGTGTACAATTATTTTTACGTTATGCCTCACGTTGGGGCCGTGATGCCATACGTGGACTGGTCGATGTTACCCCCTTGGAGCCGGGACGTCATTGTGGACAATTTCAATGCCCCTGTCAATACATCAAAGATCATTTGCAGTGTAAACCAAGAGGCAAGTTGAAATGCTTTGATATTGTTTACTGGGTGTTGGCATCAGAACGTTATGAATAAGAGAGAGTGAGAGAGAGAGAACACATTAAAAAGCATAATTTGTAATTGTACATTTAATTCATTTATATTTAAATGTAATGTCTAACTATCATTTGAAACATATAACGATTAAAGCTCATTATTTGTTGTAGTTTTTTTGAAAATTATTTTCAAAATTTTATTTAAATTTTTTTTCACATTTTCATGTTTTTCATATTTTTGGTTTGGCATTAATATGTTTTGTTTGATTCCACAGTTATTGTCAATAGTATTGGTCAGGTAGTTTGGACCCGCTCAACAATGTATGGAAATTGATCGGCTTGTTTTCGGGTTTTTAAATGTGCAATTACAAATTCTTTTTTTTATTTAAAAATTATATTATGATTGATATTATTATATGTAAAAATTTTTCAAATTTTTTAAAAAATTAGTTAAGTTTTCAAAATTTTTTTTTATTCCTTTTTCGATTTTCAAACCACTAGTTCAAAATGGTGAAAGTGTTATAAGTACGGGGTATATTCCACAGTGGATCGATTAGCACTGGCTAAAGTAAACATAAATTTAAATAAAATTTTTAAAATTAAAAAAAAATAAAGTTTTTTTCTATTAAAATCGTTTTGAATTTTTTATTTTAAACTTAAGTTTGTGAAATGGCGCATGTACCCCTTAAGTGGAACTGGCGAATGTACCCCTTTAGTTTAATAAAGTTATAAACTTCTTTTTATTAAAACTAGTTTGTGTTTCTCTTTTTAAATAAGTATTTTGTTTAATGTTTTACAATTTATTAAAATTTTATTACAATTATTTTGAAAAAATAGTTTTGAAATTCTTAAATAACGATTTTTTTTTTTTTTTTAATTTTTAATCACTCAATTGTCCTACATCTCTATATATTAATAATATAATTTTATTAGCTTTTATTTAAATTTACAAATTTAGTTTTGGATTATTATTTGAATATATTTTTAATAATTTTTTTTTTTATTTTTTTTTATAATTTTTTTATTCAATATTTTATTTGTCTCTACACATTTTTTTTGTAAATTTATTTAAATTATTTGTCCCATGTATGTATTTCTAGTTTGTGTCTCCCTTTTTGTTTAATAAAGTTTCCGTTTTATATTAATTTAAACAAATAGTTTGTTTTATTTTTAATTTAATTTCTTAATTTTAAGTTAAATCTATTTTTTTCAATTATTATAGGTTATCCTTGTGGTTGCATTGCCTACGCCTCGGATCCTCAATTTCAAAATCGTTATTAAATTTTTTACATATTTTTCATATTATTACTATTTGTTTATATTATTTAATAAACATTTTTCTATTTTATAATTAAATTGTAAGACTTTTATTTATTTTTTTTGAAGAAATCAGATTTCAAATTTCATAGATCTACTTGTATTTTTAAGCCAGTAATGAAAAGTAATCAGTATTATAGTAATTTTCAAAAGGGGGGTAGAGTCAATTATGGACCGATCCACATATAGTTTGGTGGAGAGATATTGGCTTGCATGAAACCTATGTGAGTCAAATTTCATAGCTATATTCGTAAGCCAGTAATCAGAATTATACTAATTTTCAAAATGGGATCTTATATGGGGGGTAGGGCCAATTATGGTCCTATGTCCGACGTAATTCAGAATTTTATTTCGGAGGTCAAAAAAGTGATTTATGCGAAATTTTGTGCCATTTGCTTCATAAACAACGAATTTGTGAATGTTTAAAGCTCTTTATACAATATTCCGGGGGTACATTTGTATGGGGGCTATGTGAAATCGTTGACCGACTTTGCCCATTTTCAATACCAAATATTTCTGATCAATAAAAAATATTTTGGGAAAATTTCATCTCAATATCTCTTTTTTTGTGGACGCTATCGTGCCAACAACAGACAGACGGAAGGACATAGCTAGATCGTCTTAGAATCCTACGAGGTCCCAGAATATATATACTTTATGGGGTCTGTGAACAATATTTCGATGTGTTACACACGGAATGACCAAATCAATATACCCCCCATCTTTTTTGATGGTGGGTATAATAAGGTATTAAGTAAAACAAAACGGAGGCACAGATATCCGTATATAGATAGTAATATAGTCTACTGTCCAAATTAAATGCGAGAGAACAGATTGAAGAATATAGTCTAGACACTAGAGTACAGCATATAGTGCAGACAATATTTTGTAGTCCTGAATATAGTATATGGTAGGTAGGACTATACCCTATAGTCCAGGCTATAGTCTTTAGTCCCGACTACAGTCCAGACCTTAGTCTATAGTCCAGACTAGAGTCCAGATTATTGTCTATAGTCCAGACTATAGGCTACAGTCCTGACTATAGTATATAGTTCTGACTATATTCTATAGTCCAGACTGTAGTCTATATTCCAGACTATAGTCTACAGTCCAGACTATAGTCTATAGTCCAGATTATAGTCTACAGCCCAGACTATAGCCTATAATCCCGACTATAGTCTATAGTCCCGACTATAGTCTATAGTCCCGACTAAAGTCTATAGTTCCGACTATAGTATATAGTCCCGATCTATAGTCTATAGTCCCGACTATAGTCTACAGTCCCGACTATAGTCTATAGTCCCGACTATAGTCTATAGGCCTAACTATATTCTATAGGCCTGACTATAATCTTTACTTCAGACTATTGTCTATAGTTCACACAATAGTCTATTGTTCAGACTATAATCTATAGTCCAGACTATAGTCTATAGTCCAGACTATAGTCTATAGTCCAGACTATAGTCTATAGTCCAGACTATAGTCTATAGTCCAGACTATAGTCTATAGTCCAGACTATAGTCTATAGCCCAGACTATAGTCTACAGTCCACACTAGAGTCTATACTGTATTTTTATACCCTCCACCACCATCAGTGGTGATAGAGGGTATATATAACTTTGTCATTCCGTGTGTAACACCAAGAAATATTCATCTGAGACCCAACAAAGTATATATATTCTGGGTCCTTATCAAATTCTGAGTCGATTTAGCAATGTCCGTCTGTCTGTGTAAAACACGCTCACGATAAAACGAAGCAATAGCGTTTAACCAAATGCTCCAAATTGAAAATGAGCAAAATCGGTTCACACCGGGAAAAGTTATGAATCAAAATTTAAAACAACCTCGAAAAAAATAAGCATTTTTTACACATTCTGATGTAATTTACTCGAAAACTATGCAAGATAATTCCATGAAAATCACCACACATTCGTTTTTGCACAAGAGCTTGATCCCTGCTGAAAATTTTCTGAATCGGTCCACAATTTCATATACCTCCCATACAAAAGTACATATTCCCGGAAAATGGGTTTTTTGTTAATAACTTCCGTCACAATGTCGATATCTTCACAAAATTTTACAAATTAATACTTATGTATATAGAATTCATACAGAGGAAAAATTTTCTGGATCGGTCCATAATTGGTCATAGCTCCCATACAAGGTCCCCTCCCGAAAATCACTTAAACGCGCATAACTCATTACTAAATTAAGATATCCATATAAAATTTGGTATAAGTATTACTCATATGCACAGAAATATTACTGAGAAATTTTTTTCCGATCGGTCCATAATTGGTCTTCGCTCCTATACAAGGTCCCCTCCCGAAAATCACTTAAACGCGCATAATTCATTACTAAATTAAAATATCCATATAAAATTTGGTACAAGTATTACCGATATGCACAGAAATATTAATGTGAAAGTCTTTTTCGATCGGTCCATAATTGGTCATAGCTCCCATACAAGGTCCCCTCCTGAAAATCACTTAAACGCACATAACTTATTACAAAGTTAAGATATCCATATAAAATTTGGTACAAGTAGTGCTCACATATACAGAAATATTACTATGAAAGTCTTTTTGGATCGGTCCATATTTAGTCATAGCTCCCATACAAGGTCCCCTCCCGAAAATCACTTAAACGCGCATAACTCATTACTAAATTAAGATATCCATATAAAATTTGGTAAAAGTATTGCTTATATGCAAGGACCCCTCCCGAAAATCACTTAAATGCATATAACACATTACTAAATTAAGATATCCATATAAAGTTTGGCAGAAGTATTGCTCATATACAGATAAATATTGCTGTGAAATTGTTTTCCTATCGGTACATAATTGATCATAGCTGCTATACAAGGTCCCTTTCAGAAAAACACTTAAAGGCACATAACCCATTTTACGATCGGGCCATGTTTGGTCATAGCTCCCATACTAGGTCCCCTTCAGAAATGAAAATGGGATTTGTAATGTTCAATAAATCTTGGAATTGTAATAGATTTAAGTTGTTTAAATCTTGGGATTTTTCTATTTCAGACATGAGAAAACTTATTTCTACAAATATTTGATCAATTAGAAATGTATTAACATAAAAGTAGCTGGTGGAGGGTATTTAAGATTCGGCTCAGCCGAATATAGCACTCTAACTTGTTCCAAATGAGATTCTACTCCTTTCTATGTTAGGTAGTGCAAATTATTTACAATTTTCTTCCAATTGCGATATTTATATGGCAGCAGCAGGAAAGGGATATTTTGACTGCAAATTTTCTTTAAAAATCCTTAACCTTTCTTAACAATAATAGTTACAGTTAAAATTTAATTAAATGTATTCCCTCTTGGACTTCTTTCCCCCTATAAACAAGTCTCTGAGGTTTAATTATATACGATAAACATAAATGTCACGTTCTGTTTTATAACTTAATTTAAAAAGAAAATTTTTGGACTTTTTTTCGCTTTGCACATATTCATGACAGTTGTAATTTTTTCCTTGAACTTCCTTTTTTTTGCAAACACTGCAACTAATCTGTATGCGGAAAACACAAATTTATCGATGATTTCAAATCAACCATAAAATTTTAGTTTGAAGCAATTAATCAAAAATTACTGCAACAAACCATAAGGCGAAAAAAAAGGGAGAAAGACCGAAAAGATCCTGCACAAAAAACTGCAATGGCTTGCCAAGACTTCAGTAAAAGGAAAAAGAGTGCATAATGTTAAACGAGATGTGCATAAAATATGCCTAATTTAAGCTCAAACAGTAAAAGATATGACAAAAAACTCAACGACAATTCTAAGGCACTAACACAACCACTGACAACTTATCAAAGGAAATGAAATCTGCAGCAAAAAAAAAAGAAACAAAAAACCAATAGCATTATAGAAAAAACTAAAGAAGTCTTATAAGTAGAAAAAATGCAATTTAAAATCAATTTGGCGCTATTGCTGATTTAGCGTCTTTTTGTGGTAATTTTGGTAGCAAAGAAAAAATATTCAGGAAAATAATAGCGAATTGTAGAGAAAATATTCACAAAAAACACAGTAAAAGAAATTTCTAGTAATGCTATGATAATAAGGAAAAAACTTGAAAATTGGTTACAACATCTACGAAAAAAAAAAAAAAAAAAAAAAAAAAATAGAAAAATAGGAAGATTTAACAATATAATAAAATGGCAAAAAGGTTAACTATACTACATGAAAATAAGAAGTGACAACAATTTTGTAGGTTGAGTTGACGACGAATGAAAGGTACCTTTGTTTCCCGTTCAGTTCTAGTTGAGCTCTAGTTTGTTCAAGTTCTGTTCTAGTTCTGTTCTAGTTCTGTTCTGTTCTAGTTCGTTCTAGTCTGTTCTAGTTTGTTCTGTTCTGTTCTAGTTCTGTTCTAGTTCTGTTCTAGTTCTGTTCTAGTTCTGTTCTTGTTCTGTTCTAGTTCGGTTTCTAGTTCTGTTCTAGTTCTGTTCTAGTTCTGTCTAGTTCTGTTCTAGTTCTGTTCTAGTTCTAGTTCTGTTCTAGTTCTGTTCTAGTTCTGTTCTAGTTCTGTTCTAGTTCTGTCTAGTTCTGTTCTAGTTCTGTTCTAGTTCTGTTCTAGTTCTGTTCTAGTTCTGTTCTAGTTTTCTGTTCTTCTAGTTCTGTTCTAGTTCTGTGCTAGTTCTGTTCTAGTGTCTGTTCTAGTTCTGTTCTAGTTCTGTTCTAGTTTCTGTTTCTAGTTCTGTTCTAGTTCTGTTCTAGTTCTGTTCTAGTTCTGTTCTAGTTCTTTTCTAGTTCTGTTCTAGTTCTGTTCTAGTTCTGTTCTAGTTCTGTTCTAGTTCTGTCTTATGTTTCTGTTCTAGTTCTCTAGTTTCTAGTTCTGTTCTTTCGTCAGAGTTCTGTTCTAGTTCTGTTCTAGTTCTGTTCTAGTTCTGTTCTAGTTTCTGTTCTTATTTCTGTTCTAGTTCTGTTTAGTTCTGTTCTAGTTCTGTTCTAGTTCTGTTCTAGTTCTGTTCTAGTTCTGTTCTAGTTCTGTTCTAGTTCTGTTCTAGTTCTCGGTTCTAGTTC